TTAAACTTGCATAATGGAAAATGGGTACATACCTGCATATTCAGTGTTTCCTGTGGTGCAAAAATTGATCAGAGGGGTGTTTTCTGAAATTTGGCCTCCCCTTAGAGATGAAAACTAGCATGGAAATGTTCGAATTTTAAGCACATGAAGACATGAGATTATCCTGAAAGTAGTTGGTAATTATAACCACTGGAGATGTAATTCTAACTTGATCTATTGTATATATACAGTGAGCAAACTTGCCAAAATACTTTCAAATATGTATGGTGTGCCACTGTTTACTCCAGGTAGCACAGATAGCTAACTCTGTCAACATTATGACTTGTTAAGTACTTCAAACTTGATTTACCTTCAAGAATACCATTCCTCTAAGACACCCTATATGTTCTACTGGATGATTTTCTATTTCTTAATACTTTAAAGTAAATTTATGATGCCTGTACCCAGCCCAATTCACATAAAAATCAATACTCTAGATGATCTTAAGAAATTATTTTCAGGACTCTGAAAGATGAAACATCACTTTCTACAACAGGAATGATTTCCCCCTGTATCTTGACACTCTCTGTCAAGGTGAAACACATTATAGTTATTCCCAATTCCATTATTCCTGTTCTTTTCTCTTTACAGTATGCACACCAAAAAAAGTCCTCTGTTCTCATGAATCTAACCAGTGTTGCTAGATCTATTCACCAACCACTGAATTGTTTCTATCAATCCTTTCGCTCCATCTCTAACACAGCCTTGGATCCCCTGACCGATATCCAAGAATACTCCATTCTTGAGGTCAATCAAGGATCGGGCTACTTAAAATAAGATGCGGCTACTCGTCTTCCCCTCACAATCCTTCCCCAAGCGAGGCTCAGTTAATCAATCACAGCAAGCGTTTATCTGATTTCTGAAGCAAGGAAGTTCATAAGAGTCCAACTCATCGCCATCTTTTCCTTCCCAACAGCCCATAATCAAATCCTGATGCTTGATTCTTTACAAAAGCCCCTACATTCATCTCTTTATTTTCAACTTTTCACCCTAGATTGGACCCTGGTCATTTCACAACTGAACTGAGGCCAAGGTCTCTTCCCTGGACTCCTCACGTCACCATCCCCACATGCACCCACCCCATTTATTAGAAAGCTGAAACATTTTAAATTACTTCCTAAAAATGTACTAAATCTATTCAAGTTACAGCTTTTACGTTCAGTTTAAAATTGTATTGTTCTATAGGCGTACCTCAGAGATATTGCACGTTCGGTTCCAGACCACCACAATAAAACAAATACGCAACAAAACTAGTCACACAAACTGTTTGGTTTCCCAGTTAAGTTTACACTACACTGCAGTCTATTAAGTGTGAAATAGCATTATGTCTAAAAAATGCACATACCTTAACTAAAAATAATTTATAACTAGACAACGCTAACCATTATCTAAACCTGTTGGATAAATGGTGCCAATACACTTGATCAACACAAGTTGCCACAAACCTTCAAAAAACACAATTATCTGCAAAGTGCAATAAAATGAAAGACAATAAAATGAGCCTCACCTATATTTGTGCATCTAGAAAATTTTAACTTTTTCCCCATTTTTTTCCTCATAGGAAAATTTCAAATATGCTGAGATATCCAAGGAATAATGCAATGATCTCTTGCATATCCACCTCTTAAAAGTAAATGATTGTTATAATTTTGCTGTATTTGTGTGTAAAATATGTTTGAAAGTAAATTATAGACATCATGATATTTCACACCTAAAATTTTCAGCATTCATCTCTCAAGAATAAGGGAATTGTCCTATATACCCTAATACCATCATCACACCTGAAAAATTAGTAATAATTCCAAAATATGATCTAATATCCAGTCTATGCTTAAATTTCCCCAGCTGTCTCCCAAATATCGTCTAGAGCTGGGTTGTGTTTTTTTTTAAACCAGGATTTATTTAAGGTCACACATTACATTTATTGTTGTGTCTCTTTAGTCTCTTTCTAGAAAAGTCATTCTACTTTTTTCCCATTGTATGATTTTTGTGAATAAACCAGACAATAGCCTACGTTATGAATCTGTTTGATGGGAAGTAAGTGCGTGTGATATTTTTAGCTGTTTCGTTACCCTCAGTAGTTAGTCCCTATAAGTTGGAGGTTAGGTGTAAAGGCTTGATCAGAGTCAGGTTAAACATTTTTGGCAAGAATACTTTTAGGGTAATATGTAAACTTCATACTGGATCATATCAGGATGCACCTACTGTCAGTTGTCCCACTTTTAATAATTCTGAGTTTGATCACTTGATCAAGGAAGCTTCGTGCTATCTTTACCTTAACACCAAGTTATTTTCATTGCACTATGTCTCAGGTTTAAGAGGCTTTATATTTATGAAAACACCTGCCAGGAATCCTGGGCTCTCTCTTTCCTCTGTTTAATTGTCCTCCCCTCTTTCTCTCTGAACTTGGTGTCCTAACCAATCACCCATTTTCCGCCACCGTCCAAGCAGTGCCTGAAATTCTACTCTCTGAAGCTTCCCTGAATTTAAATACGTTAATCACAGTTCATGTTGGGTTCTCAACCCCATACTTACTGCCTAATTAGAACGTGCCACAGAAGCAAGGGTTATTTCTGCCAAATTTGCTTTGTATATTGACTTCTCATGGCAACGCATAAACATAAGTGCTTAGTGATAACTCCATGGCACCAAAAGTCTCAATAGTGGAAATCTACAGCTAATAAGAGTGTTCCCAAGAGCACAGCGCTAGTGAGCATTTAAGCAGTTGTTTTTGCCATCCCTTTAAAATCTACCTATGCCTCCTTCTATAGCTGTGTATGGAAACCAACCATAGCAAGAAAGCACTAATATTTTCAAACATCTTTATAGGCTACATCTGATACACTATTGACTATTTGCCAATAATGTGTGTTTTTTAATGCCTGGATCACCCTAAATGCACTAAGTAACTGGGCAATCATAAGCAGCCAGCAACATGTCTCACCAACAGGAAGACAAATACATATGCTGAGAATGTTTCCTGAAAACAGGTCTTATTTTGAAGCTGTGTATTTGTAACTACACATGCAAAATGAATTAAGACTTGAGATCACTATCTGGATCATTGAGACCCAAAGTAAGAGAGGTATGCAGATAAGGCAAAAGTATTCTACTGGGTTTGAATTAATTGAGTAACCACCAATTAGCCAACTCATTTTGAATATATAGTCCAGCTTAGGCTTCAAAGTAAATAATTTTGTTAAATCTTTTCTAGTTAGCAATCATCTGTCTAATATTACACAAGAATAACAAGTTTATGAATACTTCACTTTCTTGCTTTTTATCGTCTGTGTTCCAACTTGGAAACCAGGAAGAAAGGCTCTGGGCACAGTTTTAACAGGACCTCCTTTTCCCCAACCTAAGCTGGAATGACTAAACAATGCAAATGGCTCCAAATTCATCCTCCTTCTCCAAGGCTGGTCGGGACAAAACTGTGAAGTGTATGATGTTTATCTTCAGTCTCACTGCCTCTATAAAAACCTGCTCTTAGCAGAAGAATCCAGATTTTACTTCTAAGCTCAATTTAAAGTGATGCTTCTCCTTGTCCCAAAAGCGTTTGCTTAAACCTGGTCTTTAGTTGATGAAAAGTGGCAGGTTTAGGGTGCATTTCAAGGATCTGCAGGCAGGCAAAGGTTGTATTTGGAGAGATCAAGCCTTCCCTGTCTTACTGAGGTTACCTGAAACAAGCAGTCACCTACTCTGCCTATTTTTACGTTTGACACTATCGAGAGAAAGCTATCTTCTAAGATCGTATTTGCACAGCTCTATAACATTTGCAGAACAGTGCTCACATTCCTTCGTCTAATCTTGACAAAGCCCCATATCCTTGTCTGCTCTTTATAGATAAGGAAGCTGATTCTCTGCCAGTAAGTGCCGAGCCAGGGCTCTAGCCAAGATCTTATAACTCCACATGGGTGTTCTTTCCATTCAGGTCTGCAAACCAACGTTGCCTCTCCCCCTGGAAGAAAGGTGATAACCCTACCATGGACTCACCCAGTACCTAAAAGTATTTTCCAGGTTTCTAAAGCAGTTAACAATTGATTCTTATTACCCCAAAGTATTTCACGCACAATACTTTTCCAATACCCTGGTAAGAACAGAGAAATAATAATAAGTGGACCTCACCTACTCTTCCCCTGTGGGGCTGAAACCATTATTAAATGACAGGAGAACCGCAGGACAAAGCTACATCATTATCAAATAATCACAAAACAAGTAGCCCCAAGTGACTGGGGTAAGAGAGCTGATATTTTTATGTTGCTATCCCTATGCACTTTCAATGATGAGTTTTCAAGAAACCTCAGCCTTTCTCCCACGTTATGATATAAATACAGGCCTAAAGTTACATGTAAATCCAATGATATTTAAATGCTCTCCGAACAACTCCTTCATTACCATTCTCATTATGAATTTTACAAGAAAATAAAAGATGACAAATTATTATTGCATGAGGGGCTCAAAACTCAACTGTACCTACTAACCTGCAAATATTGGTAAAAAGGCATAAGTATTTTCAAATATTTTGCAGAATCTATCTCATGTACTGTATCTCATGCCTGATACATTTTCTACACAGATCACCTTAACTGAAAAGATACAAATGGCAATTATGGGCTTCCAACATACTTCTGAAAGTTCACTACTTAAAACTATCTTATAGATTGGCGGTTGACAGCTTTTTCTGTAAAGGACTTTGCCAACCACATTTTCGGCTTTGCAGCTCATAGAATCTTGTTGAAACTAAACAATTCCACCGTGAATAGCATGAGAGCAGGCACAGACAAAATGTCAACGAATGGGCGTCACTGTGTTCCAATTCAACTTTATTTACAAAAACAGGCCCACGGGTCAGTTTGCCAACCCCCTTCTACAGAAAGTCATTTTACCAAGTATGGCTTCCCTGTGAACATGAGACCTTTCCCAGAATGCACTGCTCAAACAGGCTGCACAATCCAGCTTACCTGTGACCCGATGGTTTCCTGGAAGCACCGGCCCAGCTGGGTCTTAGCAGCCACAGGATAGACGTGAGGAATAACTTGCTGGTGGGAGTAGGTGGAATGTACCGTCTGCGTTTTCTGGACGGGATGCCCTTGGTAAGAGAGCTGGGACTGGCCTGGCTGAGATTCTTTTACCTTCTGACCCGTTGGGCCATCGATTCTTGAAACCTGATGGATCTGGACTGAAGCCTCGGGAGGGTGCTTCACATGGATATTGACTATGTTGGGAGGAAACTTCACTAAAACAGATTAGGAGGAAAATTTGTTAATCATGAATAATTACCACCCGCGTCAGCATGAAGATAAATTTTATACACACACATATATACTTATATGCGTCTATATTGTATGTAGGATAAATTATACATGTACAGTGTAATACATATTGTTGCCACACAGTCATCAAAATTCTTGAGAATAAAAGGATATACTCAAAATAAAAATTAAGCCTGAATTTATAGATTTCAAAGAAGACAAATTATAAAGAGAAATTAAAACCTCTCACAATACCAGATTCATAAGATCAAAATATTTTTTTCAGGAGAGTCATAAAACTGAAATTCATGCTGCTTGTGGTCCTAGGAGGACAAATTTTATCAAACGCTAATAATAAAGACTCAAGAGTTGGATTACTTTTGAATTTCTCACCAAGTTTCTATCGTAAAAGTTGGAAGATTTATTATGCCTTTCTACATCAAAAGAGGAAATACAATTACACAAAGCAAAATTCTCTTACCCTTAGACAACACAGTGTGGGCACACTTTGGTGCTTGTTGGGACACACACACACAATATACCCAAGTGTGATATATTATACCTGTAACAAGATGTACTTTTTGCAGCTTTCAAACAAAATTCCATCTTCTGCTGCGAACACTCAGGTTTTAAAGAGTAAGAGCCAGGAACACTCTCTGACCCCTTTTAAAAAACTGCATGCAGACGACAAGATGCCAGGTTTAAAAGAATGAATTAGTCATTGGATTTCTGAGCTCCAAGTGACCTAGTTTACCTTCCTCCACAGATGAAGCCCAGTGAGGTTAAGTGATCGTTTAGAATGAAAACCAAGCCCTCTTCAACTGCTAAACAGACTTATTTTTCATCAGCAGGTACTGCGATCCGCTAGTTTATCAACGCTGCCGAGGCCAGAACACAGCCGTGCTCATCTGTCTACTCTGCAGGCCCAGCCTGAACAGTGCCGTGTGCACGGAACAGCCCTGGGTGCTGACAGTCATCGGGGACGCACGGGCTCCTTTTTATTTTCTATTTCCTAGGTACCTAGTCTCTAGGGCCTAGAAAGCACTGTCGCCACATAGTGGGGCCCACATGCTGCCCCACTGTCATTTCTCTGTCCACAGATCATCTACTCCCTTTCTGTGCCAAGACTAGCCCTGGCCATCTGCAGATACTTGGCTTCTGGACGGGTTTGGCAGGTTCACAGAAATCTGACGAATGGGCAAAAGCAAAATAATAACCTTACCTTTGACTCCTTGCTGACTAGTCATGGTCAGAGGCAAGGTATGTGTGGAGTGGACGACATGCGTTCCCAGCGCCTTGCCTGACTGCTGCGAATGCTGATAAAGTTTAGGCACACTGGCACCATGGACTGGGATCTGACAAAGCTTCCCTGTGAAATTGGGGGGGCACTGGCATTTGTCCCTTGAACTGCACTGGCCACCGTTCATACACGGAAGATGGCAAATGACTGAAAGGGAAAAGAGAAAATGCGGAAAATTGGTCAGCTTCTCAAATGCTAAGTTAACAGTCAACCAACAAAACTCCCACAACACATAGCCCATGACAGCCATCACATTCCCACTGACTTTAGAAATGGTAAACAAAGGAGTAACTACACTATCACACAAAAAAAGTCTCTATTATTCAGATTTTTATCTTTTTCCTTCCATCTTAAGTGGTTGTTCTTTCCCGACAAGGACAAGAATTCATGAAAAGAATATATAAAGTAGCCACTCAGAATTACTGTGGATCAAGGTCCTTTTAAGTATCTCTCGCGTTCTAGGATTTCTTTGCTTTCCTATTTAATTACTACCTTATTAGCTGTCTCCCTAGATGATAAATTCCTTGAGAAAAGGGGCTATGTCTGCCTTAGTGACCTTTACATCTTTAGCACCTAGAATAATGTCTGGCACACAGAGGACATATTTCCTCAAAGAATAAGTAAACAAATGAAAGCGCTAAAGATAGTATCTGTTGAGAATTTTCTCTGTTAAGACACTGAGCTAAGTGCTACCCAGACCAAGGGAGTAGAGTGGCTTGAATCCTGCTTTACAGGAATTTGCAATCTCATTGGGATAACAAGACCACAGTGAAACCTAGAAGACGCAGAGTGATTAGTAGCCTGGAATTTATTTAGAATACCAAAAGATAAAAAGAGCACGCTGAGTAAAGAATTTTAAGAGGAGTTTTAAATTCTGACTACATTCAGTTTCTGGCCAACCTCTTTATCACTAATGAATTCTTCCTATTAGCCTTTAAATGTGATCAGATGTCCAGCAGCTTAAAAACTAAAAGCCCCTCAACTCCATTTCCTTCCAGATTTACCCTCCCCGCCCCCCAAGACCACATTTTCCAAAAGAATGGTCTGTTCACTTCTCCACGCGCTACAATCTACCTTGGGCCAGGGGGCGGTTTCCTTGCCCTAGCCCTCTTCTACGGAAACTACCCTTACTAAGGTTACTAATGGTCTCCATGTTGCTAGATCCAATGGACGGATTTCTGTCTTCCCTGGGTTTCCATGACATCTCCCTCAACTCTTCTGCTCCTTCCTCTTTGTGCATTCCATCTTAATGTTCATTGTAGACTCCATTCTTTACTTTGTCCTTTAAATACTGATGTGCATAAAGCTTTGGTGTTGAAATCCTCTTCTTTACTAACTCTACACACTCTTCCTCTATGATTTCGCCCTGTGATACACTGATGTCACCCAATTTTCTATTTCCTAATCGAGGCTTTCTGCTGGGCTCCAAACTGTCTACTACTATCTAACTCCAGGTAGATATTGCACAGGCCCCGCCAACTCAAAATGTCCAAAATCTAACTCCTCACCTTCTCCCTAATATTTTCATTCACTGAGTGCTCCTTATCAGAAACCTGAATGCAGCTCTATCACTCTGCCCAACCGAACATCCAGTTTTGGAAGTGCTCCATGCTAAGTAGTCATAAACTGTGTGCAGTTCCTTCCCATCACAGGACCCCATTCCCTCTCAGACCTCATCACTTATGAGTCTCATCTCATCTCTACAATCCAGCAACACAGAGCTTTGTTCGGTTCCTCCGTGGGCAAGGCCCTCTCGCCACTCTAGAGCTTTATCCATGCTGTGCACACACTCTTTCCACTCGGCCTCCATCACCTATCTAACTCCGACTTATCTTTTAGACTCTGCTTAAACCTCACTTCTAGAAGCATTCTCAGTCGCTTCTTGTCTACATGTGGTGCCTCTCTGTGCTTCCGCGGACTCTCATTCACAGCTCATCATGCCACTTAGCTTACTGCATTCCAAGTATGACTACTTTTCTGGACGCCTCATTCAACAAGAGCTCTGTGAGGTCAAGGACTTTATCTTGCTATGTTTTACCACTAGCATGGAATGCAGCTTCTAGAAGAAATGCTGCACGCCAAACAATACTGGATAAAAATGTTATGCCTACCACTCTGTCAAATACCATTCCAGGTACTATAGAAGATTCAGTCCCTGCTCTTCAAGAACATAAGAACCAACCGGAGAGTTTAGATAATACATGGTAACTAAAAACACAGATCAGCAAATAAGTGACAATTGGAAAATACAAAACGCAAATCCTGTGGAACTTCAGAGACGAGAAAAGACATTTCTGGGAAGTCAAAATAGACTTTACAAGAGAAATAATTTGGGATAAGTCTTTGCAACTGGGCACGATTCATTAAAAAAAAAAAATGAAAGGGTTGCATCCTAGGTGGAGTGTGTGTGTGTTCAAAGAAGGGGAGGCAGGCATATTCAGGAGGCAATGAGAAAGCCTGTCTTGTTGAAACCCTGGGTTCCTGAGGGGAGGGGTCAGGTGATAAACTAGAAGACGTAGGCTTGAGTCAGACAATGGATAAAGGCCCAGTAAAAAGTTTGGATTTTATTTTGTAATTATTAAGTTATTTTGGAGGCTGCAAGGAGAGAATTAAATAAGGCTGAAAGAGTGTTCCAGGAAGATTACTCTTGTGACGGCATGTGGGATTAGTTGGAATGGAGAGTGACTAGGTGGAGAAGTCAGTCAGGAGACTATTAAAATAACTGAACTACAAGTTGAAAAACACATGGATCATGATGGCAACAAGAACTGAAAGAAGCATGAAGTAATATAATGATAGAGGGAGAATCAGCACAATACAAAGATGGGACACAGAAAGTAAACAACTGGCCAAGGAAAAGGCGAGTCAGTAGAGGAGGAAGGAGAGAGCCAGAACAAATGACAAGGTGACCACCTAGGAACCATGTCCCGCATCCGATGATGCGGCCGTTCAAGCCAAAGCTGCCCATGCTGGATGGGGTCAGAAATAGCTTTCTTCAGGGCTCGATCTACTCTGAGGTGCTGGGTGAGGGTAGAAGAGTCAAAGCTGACTCCAAGGTTGAGTCCAAGACTTCATTAACTCCCACTTCAGTTCTGAACCGATTTTTCTAAGTCACAGCTTGGCTACGCTGGCTGGATTCAATGTGTAATGGGAACGGGCAAAAGGAGCCAGGCCAAGATTTAAATGTACTACAAATCATTTATAACTGGAATACAGGCACCAGTCACTTTGCACGGTTCCAATATGCATGGATTTCAGTTCCTTCAGTTTAGTTAAATATCACCAGTCCCCCCCCCCCCCCAACAACATGTTTCAAACTTCAGTTGCCACAGTGTGTTAACCGTGAGTAATTGCATACAGCACACACTTCGCTGCTAGCTCTTTGGTCCATAAACACTCCGTGAATAACAGATGTGGATCATGATCAGTAACCAATCATGTCTGTCACTTCCTTCAAAGTCTGCTGGTGATTGATCCCTGCACATCTGTTATTCGGCTCAGGCACCTACAGGAAAGCATGTAGTTGCTTGCCTCCTCATCTCACAGTGATAAACGCGCATTGCATTGTACAGAAGTGGATAATTAACAGGGTCAACAACAAAAAAAGTGCAGCCAAAAAAATGACAAGTGGTAACACTGGAAGTGAAACTGGAAAGTGGTTATGATGAAAAGGATGAAGATGTGCCAAAGGAAGTAACATTAAAGGAACTCCCAGATATCTTACAACTTTGAAAGCACAAAGGGGAAGATGTTGGAAGCTAATCCAAACTTGGAAAGGAGTACAACAATTGACCGAGGCAAAGAAAAACTACTCCAATAGCCTAAGTTGTAACATGTTCACGTTACTCTTGGTAAGTTCTACTCAAAGGAGTATAAAACACTTTAGTTCTCAGTTTTCTAACATTTTAAATTACAGGGCACTAAAGAAATATGAGCTTTACTATTTTTGTCACTTCCTCATACATGTATCACCTACAGTAAAAGAGTTTTAATGTTCTGACAAAAAAATTTTCAAGGTCATATAACTGGTCATTTTTCCATTGATTATTAAGATCGGTTTTGTACAATTTCAGCTTGCATGGTCATTTTTATGGTCCTGTCCTACTATGCAAGCCTACCTAAAACCTACACTAAAATAACTTCACATATACGATGTAGCCATCGTTTTACAATCATTAACCAGTTGACTTTTACTAGATGTTTCCAGTATCAATAGATTTTGAACTCTAACATGAGTATAATTAGTTTTGTTTAAATCTACCTTTAAATCCCTGAAATAGCTTCTATACAAATGTTTCCAGGACTGCACTAGTCTAAGTGCATAATCCCAGAGTGGAACTCTAATAACTTTGTGTCTCTCTGGTCATGAAGGAAATGGTTTCTGCTTGACTTACTCCAACCAATAAAAGGCCTCTCTTTATAACCGTCTATGAATGGGAAATAAAGTATCTATTCTCCTGTTCCAGCATTTTCTAAAATCTAAATTACAATATAAAGTTCTTTGCCTCGACTCCATAAATACTCATTCAGACCTTTGTGGCACGTGATCTTTTTTATAGCTAACTGGTCTTTTATATCAAAGAAAACAAATTTAAAATCAACCTACAAACTTAAGGATTTAACTATGAATGGTTTCTTTCCGTTTCAAAAGTTCATGCCACTTTCAAAACATTGCCTAGTGATATACAGTCTGTGCTGCCAGTATTCTATAAAACCTTCTCCATGCTTAAAGAGGAAAAAGAATAAGTTATCTTTAAGGCTGACTGGAGGAGCTTGTGGTATGCTGGTTGTGGGTCTAGCTATGGTACATGTATTTTAGAACATATAATGAGAAGGTGTCACACAGAATGCTGAAAAAAATTCCATAAGTTGATTAGCTTGACATTTAGCTGGCCACCACCATAATTCACTCGATTGCATCATGTGGTCGCCTGGGACCTGCTGCAAATAACAAGAGGTATATGGGCCTTCAGAAAGGTAGATGCGTTTCTGGAATTAGAGAGTCCGGAAAGTATCATTTCATGACTACTACTCAAAGTATCTCATGCTACTATTATAAATGGTCAAAATGGGCAAACGAGTCCAGGCTGGAAGAACCACACACGGGAGGTTTGAACGGCGTCGAATGTCTCAGTGCATCCCACCGC